CGGATCGGGCCTAAAGGCGTCCTCTCGCAATGTCCAGCATCGAGGGATGTGGCATGGGGGCATCCTGCTGATGTGTGCTTGGTACATGGTGTTTATAGATTGTAGTTGCATTTACAGAATTTACGTGTGTCCTTAGGAGCCACTGTTACTTATTTTCAGGTCACTGTGTGGAAGGAGTTATTAGTTGTTGCTTGCTGGGTTTTGAAGCTATTGCTGCCCTCTCTTCTGTGCATATGCAGCAGTAGCATGTTGCCAATGTAAGTTGTCTTCATCTTGCATACGTCCGTTTACTTTTGGCATGGTTGTTTACTTCAGAAGTAGTAAATTTAACGAACCAAGGAATGGTCTCTAGGTCCATATGATTTGAAACATGATTTTTATTGTAGTGAGGTGTGCGACGTTACTTGTGACTACTGAAACAAAAAAGAGGCAGTGTGTTAAACAGCTTCGAAGTGCATAGTTCATATGGAGTGAAAATGATGGCTTGTGTATTCTGGAATTTCTTTTGGGTACTTTGTAGGTCTCATGATTGATTTTTTATGGCCACAGTGGCCATTGCTAGATTATCAATTTAGACTTACCATTATGCAGGTGTACAAGACTAGCACGATTAGCACTGCTGCAGCAAGGCGCTCCTAGCGTGCCAATCTATGAAGGCTTTGTTTGTCCTGGTAAGATTCGTGTCGTACCCCTATAATGTTTTTGTGAATTTTTCTTATATCACCCTTGGGAGTACCATGTACACATCATGCTTCTTGTGCCACAATCTTTGTATTCCTCACCTAAGCTTAGCACTTATTCTTATTACTCTTTACTGTTAGTCTACAACAACTATAGTACTAAGTTATTTTCTTTCGTAAAATGATGTTGTCTTTTTTTGCTCTTAATGTTTGCTTCTGTAAATTACCAGCTGCAAGGAAAATACTCTCCTTTTTTATGCCTTTTAAGTTCTTAGTGCTAGATGGGAACTGATGTATATTCGGTTGCATAGAAAACCTTCAGAATACATTACCACTTGGTTGTGGCGTTTTTCAATCTGAATTGGCCAAGTTGACTCAGGTTTCTATTGTGTGGTTTCTAGATGACCTAAATATTAGTTACCTTGGAAATTTCAATCATTCCCTACAATTTGTTTTCTAACTTGAAAAAACTTATTTGGTGTGTGAGTGTTTCTACCTTTTCATAAATCAGTTTAGAACAATCAGGTTGTATTTTAAATTATTTCAGTTGTCCCTTTGATTCGTTTAATTCAACTAATATTTGTCATTCATTTATGGTCCAAATAACAAGTCAAAAATTTTGTATGCATGCTGGTGCTTATGAATCAGGATCATACATTTGACCACATATGTAGTTACCGGATGCCTGGACCTATAACATCTTTCTTCTGTAGCCATAAGAAAGTCTTCTTTTTTTCAGAACTGTTGGTTTGAGTAGACGAAAAGGTGAGGTTGTATCTTTTTAATGTTAATTGATGATATACCCTTAAGGTATTATCTGGTTCAGATTATAACAGTCAAGGCAACCAGCGAGCGTATTGTGCTATATCTGGTTAAAAATTATATGTTCACTTATCTGAGCGAATTCCTTTATAAGTCTAAGCCTGAATTGTCAGTTGTGGTTGATAATTTTCTACTTCGTTGGTGTTCTACTAACTGCTCGATAAGTGTATATTTTTGGTTACTACCTATAGATGCATTGTTGTGTCATGCACAGATGATTATCCGTGGTTTAGCAAATATAATGCCTGGGCTGACATCTCTTTTCCTATTTCAAGTATGGAATGAAATGGTTCAATCCAATATGTTTTTGTGCATGTCGTAGGAATTTTAATGTAATACAATCCTTCCATATTGCCATTTAATGTTTTAGGACATGTGGAAGTTGCTTTAGGGTTAGTTAATAATCTTATTCAAATGAAAGATTGTTAGAACTTCCCTATCTGAGATAGCTCAAATATTTATGCTATGATATAATTTTAAAATCCAGCCATCAATGGAATGTTTTACTACTCTTTGAAGGGATACATATTTATAATGAATTGTGTAACCATAGATTTATAATGAGTCCCTTCGTTAAATCTCAATAAGGTAGATTTATATGATAATAAAACTTGAGACTCATTCTTTGTTGTATGTAACTATTCAAATCTAGAGTTCAGAGATCCACACGCTCGAGAATAAGATGGTTTGTGTCTCAAAAAACAAGAACTCTTGGTAAGTCTGCATGAAATAGAATGTTGTTTTTCCCTAATTTAGGGTTGTGATAGCAAGTGTTTTTTTCCCAAGGCTAAGAGGGGGAATTATGCTAGCTGCCTCTTCAATAAGCTGTCTAGATAGAGCAGTGTTCTTTCTTCCTCTATTCTCTGCTCTATATTTCCAATTATATTTGGCCACTACAATGGAGATACATGTATATCTGTTGCTTTGATAGTTCCTGGTAAGATACATGTCTCCTAATAATTGTGGAAAAAAGTTTCATTTATCTATGCTTGTATGGCAGCAAACTAAAACAGTGTTGCTCAATAGTATTCTTACTTGCCTTATTTTAGAGTTGACAATTAACTATGCACTTGCCGAATACAGTAATGTTAATGCATCGCTTCATGCCTTTCTAGATATCTAATTAGTATCAGTGATTCAGTGTTTCTACTCGGTGATTCAGAGATTTCAAATAGTAGCAGACGTACATTGATCGTAATATAAGATGTGTTACCTAACTATTGTACCATTGGGTAATTATAGCTGTCTTTTGGGTTAATATCAACTCTTCTGTCTCTTATTTATCTTTCTAGTTGTAAAGTTTTTAGTGTTACGTTCTCAGTTTATTGTACAAATTATTACTTTATCTTCTGTTCGATGTCTTTGCATACATTTTGTAGCCTGTTTTCTAATTTTTTATGTACCTCTCTACTGTGTAGATTGAAACTGTATTTTCCTTTTAAAAAATGTTTTAAAGTCAAACTTATTATGTTTGCAGCTTATGTGAGCCATTTGTTCCCTTTACTGATAATATATTCATTATACGATGCCTAGGATGCCAATTTTATGATGTTTTGATTTCTGCTTGTCTTTACGGTATACTATTCTTTTAGTGGTTTAATTAGACATCTTGTGATGCCTAGGATGCCAATTATCATGCTCCACGCACCTTTCTGAAGCACCACCAGACTTCAATGATGGCGACGAAACATCTGATAATTATGGCTGTATGTCTTCTTTGGACACACGTAACATCACAATATTCATGTAGATGATGTTCCTAATACTTAGCTCGAATGCATGCTTTTTTTATGTTGATCCAATGCATGTTTTTTCTTGAATTTCTAACAGCGGACGAATTCAATGTGGATAGAGAGGCTCTTGACGAATCCTACAAACAGCAGCACGAAGGTGATGTCACTCAGACCCTATACCCTTAGAGTGTTGCTCTGTTCTTTTAGTTAGCCCGCATATACTATCGGTTACGCCCTCATCATATGCCTAGACACTATTTTCTCTAACATACAGTTCATCAGGCATACCAGTGGTCAAGCTATTATGACGTCAATTTAATCCACCACCGTTTAAACACTGACAACGAAATTACAACCCACAATCCTTGCTTTGAAACCAAGGTACAACTCCAAACCAAGCTATATAGCTCCTAATGTATTTTCATTTACAGTAGTACATATCAGATTCTTATGTAGCTAAAAAAGTAACATTTGTTATATTGATTTAAGCAGCCTTCTCGTCCACTCCAACCTGTGAGTTTGACGGTGCTGACCTATCCAACCGGATCTGGAATCTTAGCTACCAGCCATGAAGCACCACGCCGCCATGGCTCGGTAGTATCCCTAGGAACTGCTATTTTTCTCCCGCATGTGATGACTATTGTGATCCCGTACGTTCAATATACTACCTTAAGATCAATGTATCAGTGTGTACTAAGCTTGTGCCTTTGAACATTTATCTTAGCTATGTTAGAAGTTATGCTATTAACACCTAATGGTTCTAATCCCAGACATCTCTCTGTCTGCAATCTCATATGATGAAATCGTAAAGGTGTTATTACAGCGCGTATGTGCGCGCGCAAATTACTAGTATGCTACAGAGTCCCCAAAGGAGAAGAGATCAACGGCCTTCTGCATAACCCGGACTCCCTGCGAGCCGCGCCACGAGCGGTGACGGCGATGACAGGCCCAGCAAACGTACAAGCGCAGAAATCCCGTCGCCCAAAGGACAATCTCAGCTGGTCCACCGATGATTGATCGATGCTCGTCTGGCAGGCGTGTTCGGTCTGGGTAACACATAACACACGTTCATGCATTCACTTCTAAAATGTACAAAAACGAGCCGTGCTCCTTGTCCTTGAGAATCGTTTTCGTTTTCTTACTTCAGAAACCTTCGGCTGGCTGGCTGAATAAGCCAAAATACTGTTTCAACTAAATTATTGTGAGAAAAAAATACCGTTCTAACTGAAAAGACACTGTTCACATGAACAGTACCCGTGTGAGTGGGCTGACCAGCCAGCCGGTCAGCAGCCAGCCAGCCGAACATGCCCCTTGTGAACTGATGGTAGTTAACGTTACGAATCGACGATCGCTGATCCTTGTCGTAGATAGGCTTCGTTGTCCTCGTCGTCAGGTCTCAGTAAACTTCTGCTCGTTTTGGCTTTGGGTACCTTCATTCTTAGTACATATGATGCGTACCCGCGTTTTCCTTTCCACACACGTGACATGCAGAAGGCCAAAAGCATGCTAGTAATGTTCTTCGAGCCAAGAGCTGATCGATCAGAAGATAGTAATATAATATATATATGTTGGAAGCAAGTTACATCTTGTTATCTTGCTTGGTTATACATAACGAGACTACGAAGAAGGATCAGACACACACCCTGATCAGTTCAGTAGTACTACTAGTAAACTTAACTTACGGATTCACGCATGGGACATACCATCACACGAAACATGCGTACAGTTTGCACATATTTTCCTTCCTCCAGTCGTATCGACCAGATCATCTCTTCTTGACACCGGGAGATGGCGACGCGGTCGCGGCGGGCGCCCTGCCCCCTTCGCCTTTCTTGCCCGCGCCCGCGACCGTCCGGACGCCGCAGGCGAGGACCGCCGCCGTGGCCAGGGCATCCGCAATGTCCCTGACGATCCTCTCCTTGACCTGGCCCCTCCGCCGGGGCAGCGGGTTCCCCGACGGCGTCTTGACGAGGCGAGGTCTGCCGACCGGAGCAGCAGCCTCGCAGCCACCAGTTGCCATTGCTTGACTGCTGTAGACCTCTAGTGCTCTGGTCTGGGCTCTGGCCCTCGCGACTGACTCGTGACTAGGCTAGCGAGAGAAGCTACTGGCTACCTGGCACCAAACCCCATCCAGAACCATGTATAAATAGCCAATAGGGGAGGAAAAAGGCGAGGCAAGGGGAGCAGAATGCCTCCTGGCGAGCCACCAATCGATCTTCACTGCGCTGATTGGCCGGCCGCGATGGATGAGAAGAGAAATGCAGTGGTGGTCGGTCAAGCCGTCAACGGCAACGGCTGGCCGGCTGAGGTGGCAATTATGCGTGCCGGTTTGGCGCATCTGATGCTCGAAGACTGGCAGTCGCAGTGCGTCGGTTCGGAGTTCGCATTCAGTGAACGAAGACTGAAGAGCTGCACGGAAACAAAGCCCGACGTTGCAAACCGTCCAAGATACGGCGTAGTATAATCTTGCCCAAATAGCAGCGTGCTATTGCAAGAGATTGTACGACGTGCGCATGACCTCACGTGCCGTCGTCACATGTTGCCGTGTCATCGCCCCAGCTCGCGGTGATGGAAAAAACAAGAAATAAGCATCAGCAAATTTCAGCGAAACGAAGAGAACCTTAGGACGGCACATAGCCCCCCTATCTCCTTGATGGATGGCACATATTTGGCTCACTGTTCTCAAACCAGCGGATTGGATCCCTAGTTTACTATCTGTTTCCTTAAACAAAAATTGTACGGGCAGCGGTTCAATTTGCATGCATGATCGTCAGATATATATATGATCTCTGTGTTGACAAGGCTTTTTTTGGGAACATGTTGAGTTGTTGACAAGGCTTTAAGGATGGCTACCACAACTGCTACTCCCTCAATTCCAAATTTTATTTACTGTTAGCGTATATTTCATTAATCAATCTCAAGTTGTAGATATGATGATATTTTTTATCTTATAAATTTGGTTAAAGCCAGAGAACTTTAACTTAGAATAAAGCTAAAGCGACATATAATTTAGAATAGATTGAGAATGATATTTGAAAAGAACAATTAAGAATACTTCAAATCAGTTGAACGCTAATGTTCATAAAAGTATTTAGACTTCATGGGAACATGATACAATTGATCTATTATTCTATCATAAAAATATTATATTTCCACACTCTTTGCCAAAGAACATATATAATTTTAAAACTGATAAAGTGCATGTTTATGCAGACTTTGTCAGTGTTGCGTATACAAGTGAAAGAGATAAGAGGGAACTATATGAACCCGAGAATCTCAAATCACACGCAGATTTCACTAGCATCTCTATATATCAGACTAAGTTATATCTTGCTTAACTTAGTGCTCCCGATCATTGCGCATATATCATTCATATTCCAGTAATCTACATCTCTTACAGAAACAAACCCACTAATAACTTTTCTACTTTTTTGTCAAAAAAATAACTTTTCTACATTCACATGCAAGATATTCACATATCATCCTCTGCAGTGCCATATCATCTACCACATCTTTTACTAAGTGCAATTGTTATTTTTAATCATACTGCAGGTCATTTGGTTTAGTTGTGAGCCGTGGGAAAGCTGTTGTGAGTTATGAGCTATGAAAAAGCTATTGTGAGCTATATGCTGTGAAAAAGTTATAAGCTGGCTAGCTAAAATAAGTATGAAATCTATCCCTTCTCTATCATTCTTGAAACATATGTGAAACAGCTCTCTTTTTCGCCCATTTTGAAAAACAAAAAACCAAAATCTAAAAGTAGGGTCCAATGTGCTTCCAAAACTATACTGTACGAAAGCAACTGTTTCTGAAAAAAGCAGCTTCACATTTCATCTATTTGGTTTGCTTTCTGGTTTTTAGCAGCAGAATACACTTTTTAGAAACTCAACCAAACACAACCTATGTCACATTTTCTATAATTTCATCCAATATTCTATTACTCCCTCTGTCCTAAAATAACAATACATATATTTTTCGAGAAGTTATTTTTTAAGTTCAATCAGATATATACAAAAATACTAATATTAATGATACATAATTATTATCATTATATTAACAGTGAAATATATTAGGAGATACAAATATTGATGACATTTTATATAAATCTAGTCAAATCTTTGACTCGTCAAAAATGGGATGTGCAATTAATTTGGGACGAATGGGGTATTTTTTTATTAGATTCTACTATTAGCCTTTATCTAGTTGTAATGGTATATCTTATGCATACAGTGATACAATAATTTTACTTTCACAACAATGCAGGGTATTCTTCTAGTACTTTACCAATAGAATGTTCCTATCGCCGTGCTGTGGTTGTAATGCCATTTCTGCCTGGCGATATGATGTGATATAAGCGGTATCAGCGTAACTTGTTGGCACAATGTTTAATTAAATACTTCGTTGTGCTCGTCGAATTTTCGGGCCAGCCACCACTCCGTGCTTCTCTTGCAATGATTAACAGGGGAGGATGTGCATGCATTGTGGCCCCTTTGTTTAAGCACTAGTGGCGATAGTTATCAAACAAGTATAAATCTCTTTTTGAAGGGATTCGATCGCAGTGGTGATCGAGATCTCTGATATCTAGTACAGATGCAGTTAAGATTTGCAACTCAATATTAAAATGATCAGATACACATAACAAGTACATGTCGATTAACATCAACCCCAAAGGCCACAATACTTGTAGAGAATCAGATGCACATACACATAACCCGGGCAGCAGCCGGCACATGCCACACACTCATGCTCCGCGAGCGCGTGTGCGGCAGGCTCATGACCACTCTCTTTCATAATTCAGTTAAGGGCAGGAAAGGAATCCAGCCACCACACAGTTTTCTGAACTCAGTTCACAGTAGCAGTAGCCATTGCTCGAATTCAGATGAGCTGCTGTGAAATCAATTGAGTTGAGGAGAGTTGGACGAACGAATCAAGAAAAGGTTCATAAATTAGCCACCAAATGTGTGCAAACATAGTCAAATTTAAGTCATTTTTGAAGAACTTTTGTTAATAAAGAAAACCACAACAAAAGAAGTGATATTTAGCATAAATTTTTGAAATAAGATGAGTGGTCAAACTTAGAGTAAAAAAATCAAACGAACTATAATTTAGAATGGATTTAGTAGATAGTAAAACAACAATAGAGCAATATACATCTCTCTCCACATTGCTTAACTCGACAGAGCTCTAAGTCTAAGCTGCAAAAGGGGGAACCGAAGGGGCAAAATTTTGACCCTACAACTACCAAACTAATAACGGGGGAAAACACATCAGTTTGCACAATCTCTGTGTGTCAAGTACGACAGACTAGACGTCTAAATGTGGTTTGGTGAGGTAGCAGAAGCTTGCTCATCTCCCGAAGCTGCGCTTCCTGTTGGTGGCGCCGGCGCCAGCCGGCACCACGAGGCTGCCCAGCAGGGTCTTGGCTATCTGCACCTTGAGCTGCCCCCTCTTGAGCGGCGGCCTTTTGTCCTTGTTGCCGCCGCAGCCGTTGTAGGGGTACCCGTACTCCATTGCTAGCTTCTTCGCTTCGCTCTGTGCGTGAGCTTGCTGGTAGCTCCCGGTGGCCTGCGATGTGCAGCTGGTGAAGAAGGCGAGAGCTGGCTCTGGCTAGTGGCTACCTTGGCCTTGAGTGAGGAGTGGTGTCAGGTGTGCAGGGCAGCGGGCATTTTTATAGCCGGAGCTTTCAGGCATGTTGTTGTTGCGTTGGGAGAAAGGAGGTGGAAACGCGCGTTCTTCTTTGTTACATGTTTATTCATCCATTTCCTGGGGCCGGGGAATAAAGTTGCAGGCTTGTTTTTAGCCATGTGGTTCTCTCTGTTGCTAGTGGGAGCAGCGTCGCTTGACTTCTCACACTCGCAGTCGAAGCACTCATCCCCACCCCCGCACCTTTCCAGAGTTGGGGTCACTCGAAGCATCCGTGAAGGGACAGAAAACAGGATTAGGGAGGGATTAGCCTCCTGCCCTCATGACAGATGGGAATTAGGCAAAAATCTCATGCCAAATAAAGATGCAAATGGCGCCTCGGGATGCTCCGGCGTCACCTTTTGTTCAAGGATACTCGCATAGTACGTAAAAAACACAAAATGTTTCCGGATAATGCTACATGCCAATACCTCAGTTGAGGATGTTATTTTAATAAACGGTAATGCTAAGGGGCGGACGTCCGTCTGACCGGATGCTGCCTTCTTGCCCAACAAACATGTCTCTCTATACATCTGCCCCATATTTCTCTCGAAAATATCCCCGACCTACTCGCCCTTCGCGTGCTTTTCTACGCGGTGCTGCCGTCCGCCCGCCCACTCTGCATCGCTGCCACGGCCGCGCGCGCCCCCATCGTGCGCCACGCTGCCTCACTCCGCCTCGCCACGCTGCCCACTCCGGCTCGTCGCTACGGGCATCCCCCGCCGCGCTCCACTCCCCGCTCGCTCGTCACGGCCACGGCGTGCACCGCGCCACCAGGAGAAGTTCATCGCCGGCTGGGACAGCGTCTCCTCGCGATCGGTTGAAGACACCACGACAGGAAGAAGCGCATGTTGCAAGCGTATGTTTCAAGTGTTTCAGTTTGTTCCAGAGGTATGTTGCAAATGTTTCATGTGGATGTTGCAAAAGTAAATCGGGATGTTGCATGTGTTGCAATGGTTGTATACGTATGTTGCAAGCTTCTGTTCCCAGTGTTTCTTTTATTTTTCTAGACGTATGTTGCATGTGTATTTATTTGGATATTTTTTCGAGAACGTACATAGCACGTGTTTCATTAAGAAGAAGTTAGAAGGTTTACACGCCCGTCATCACATCACGGCGAGGTGGTTGCATATGTTTCGCACATATGTTGCAAGTGTTTTATCTGGATGTTGCGTATGTTTTACAATCGTTTTTAAGTGGTTTTTAGGTGCTTTTGCAAGTGTTTCAGATACATTTTCAAGTGTTTCATATGTCTTCAGACGTATGTTGCAAGTGTTGCATCTTGATGTTTCGAAAATAGATCGGGTGTTGCATCTCCCTAGCTTTTTGTTACCTCGCCTCAGTGTCTCCTCCTCCTTTCAGCCCCGGGCTAGGCATCCACCACCCTCTCGTCCTCTTCTCGATGCTGGTAATGTTCGGGGGCAGCGTGGGTCCCGTATGGGCGCGTGAAAGGAGGCTCGAAACGGTATGCATGCGCGGGCGTCCGGACGTGAGCAAGCCCGTTTGATAAAAGACGCGTCTAATGATGAGAAAACTATCTTTCATGTTCAAGTGACAACTGAGGAGTGAGGACCCCGTGACCATCAAAGATTGCCTTACCCTTTCTGTGGCCATTGCAAGGTCAAGGCAAAATAGCTTGAGCTAACAGAGGGTCTACTGATAGAGGCAGTTTCTTCTCTATATATCCACCTTCAACATCAACCATGGTAGCAAGGTGGCAGCGTAAGTACTACTATGATAGATAGATGTTTCGTCAAAGTGTTCGTCTTTGCACATCACAACGTGAAAGTTCAATAAGGACGGAATGCAAAACTATGCAGACCATCTAAAGGAATTGTTACCGTCGAACCTTCTCAAACCAATGACGGGCTTAAAAATATGTGCTTTATACTATCTGGTGGTGGAGATTTCTTTGCTTCTTCATTAGGTGTTGGTTCTTGTTGTACAGGTATGCACATAGAATTTAAATATTTATAAAGGCATTAGGTGATGAATAATACCTTAAACCATGTCCTTGTGAGATTCTTGTATAGATCTGGAATTCTGGCTTGAGTTGAGTATAATGGTGGTGTACATCTAATCCTCGTTGCAAAGAAAGCAGTATCCATGATTGGAGCCTCACACATACTTTTCACCAGCTGTGTAATCTCACCGAGCTATCTTTTAGCCTAATAAATCATGATCGCTCTGGTTGTAGTGAAATTCTTGCCTGGCGAGTGGCGACGCGACAGATTGTAGCACTCGATTTTAAGAATAAAATCAGATAAGTACTACTATATGTAAGTCTAGGAAGTCAAATATCACATATAACTACAAATAAGGATAATATCGAAAGACAATGCTTAATATATAACGTACTTAGTATAAAGGATATAACCTTAAATAGCAATCAACGGAACCGATCTTCGGATAAAGACTCCAATTCCACAGGAACAACTGACTGATTGATCACAAGCCTAATTCCTCCAAACTCTAGCAATCTGGTACCCATCCGGGATTTTTATTCAAATATTTGAAAAGTAAATCGAGCGTAAGTATATGTCGTACTCAACAAATATAACATGGGGTTCATGAGGCTCAAAAGGTTGACACTGATTTACTGCGGTTAGCTTTTAGCAAGTCATGATTTTAAGCAGTTGAGTAGCTTCAAATTTATCATAAGCCCGTATAAACACATGATCAGGTAAACATGAATAATGAATATCATAAACAGTAATCATTAGTGAGCATCTGTATCATCAGTATCATTAATGTTCATCATCTATTCCGTAAGGGTTCCAAGGCCACTCGTGACCGTGAGCATAGTTGTTATAACAGTTTTATACTCTGCAGAGGTTGTACACTTTTACTGTGAGTCGTGATTTACCCTTTCGCCCGAGGTAATCAGCCTCTTGACCCACTACCTAGGAAGGTCAGCATGGTTCACTATGAAGCCTTTCCAAGGTTCGTCTAACAAATTAGGGCTGCTAGGTTTCCCCATCAATAAAAATAAACTCCCCTCCAAGGATTGACTGACAAAAGGTCAAGAAACCAAAATGCACTCAACCTAGCAGCCAATGGTCATACCTGTCGGAGCCCCTCTAGGCCATAAAGGTAACCACTAACAAGCTAGAAAAGGTCCTCATACTTGACTAAAGCCAGGGTCATGTGACCATCAAGTCCCGGATGATCACTTACAGATAAGTTCTTAGGGAGAGGAATCTAGAACACCATAATAACAGCCCAATGCTCTAACCCTCTTGTTCCATATTGGTAAAAAACATCTTTTAGTCTTTATTGCATATTCCATTAGTCAAGTTACAAGATCATAGTTTTAGTTTGAGCACGAGCATCATATTACCCAATGCAATACCCCATAGGTGACAAGAAATCCAAGATATCAAATAGCTAGGAAAATTTACTACGGTTGCTAAGATAGACGCATGCATATAATTAAATTATTAAAGTGAATAGGACAATAAGGATGATCCCATACTATACTTGCCTTAAACTATGATCCTTCTTCAAGTCGAAATCTTCAAGGAATTGCTTCTCGATTCACCACGTATAGCTCACCATCTGGACAAAATCATAACACACCACATAAGCATCAATGCAATCATACACGAAGCAAACAATAAAACTAAATTAGAATAGTACACTAGACAATAAAAAGGTTTGAAAACTAATCTATGCATTGCTATGAAAATACAGACGCGAAAAGCGAAAAGCACTCTAATCGGAGCTATGATGCAAAAGAAACAACTATCGAAAGATTTACTTTATAAAGAAAAATAAAGCTTTAAGCATCATTTATTTTAGCAACATAAAAGCATGTATAAGATATTTCAGAGAATATCTAAATTGAATTAAGCCAAATTATATTTGATTTCAAAAATATCAAAGTAGAAAATCTAAGTTGCTTTTAATTGGAAAACTAATAGCATATAGATTGATCAAATTAACATTTTATTTGAAAGCATAAAGCATGTTAAACAATGCTACTATAACTTAGATTACGTCGTTATGAATCTAACGCAATTTTAAACTAGTCAAAACGGAGTTAAAACGAAGAAGTCATGGTCTAAACAAGGCTAGTGGCAAAACTGTAAATAGATGAAAACATATTTTGAATCTAACCGAAGGAAACTACTCTTTCCAAAGAAAAAGACGCATTTTGGAAATATGCTATGGACTGCAGGTTCAAATATTCAAAAGTCGAGGGTCTCTTTAACAAAAACTCCAGCGAAGGGGTATCTTCTAATCTAGGCCGTTGGTTAAGAAATGGACGGCTCTGGCGGGTTACAGGACTTGATGTTGCCGGCACAGTGCCATAGACAGTGGCGCCATGGCCGGAGATGGCCCGACCTCGCTGGAATCTCACCGGTACGGCGTTCCATGCAGTCACTAGACGAGGGGAGTGCATAGGGAGGGAGAGCGGAGCATAGCAAATCCATCTATGGCATCGGTGAAGCTAGCGGATGGACGGAGGCGGCGCTAGGCACGATTTGGTGGCTCGGGTTCGTCGGTGGAACCCCGGCGACACGAAGCGAGAGACAGAGAGCGAGAAGGAGGGCGTGGCTGGTACCAGCGGCCAACTTACCGTCTTGCGAAGCTCAGGAGGGTGCTCTAGTCGCCGGCGAAACGACAAGGCGAGCACGGCGGCGTCGAGCTTCTACTCGGCGAGATCCAAGCGGCGGCGCTAGGGCTCAAGGCGGCGTGGGGACTTGCGTTAGGGCTCGGTAGGGAGTCGGTGGACACAGGGCTGCTATTTAAGGGGAGGGTGGCTTGCGGGTCACGCCAACCTCCATGGAAATCGGCACCGCGGCGGACTCCGACTCGGAGCAGAGCCCGGCTCGGGCACGAGCGGAAGGTGGGAGACGCGGCTGACACGCGGGCCTAGGGTGGCAGTGGCACGGGGCGTGGGGCCTGCTCGTCAGCCAGTAGAGGGAGAGAGGGGGCCGGGCTGCGCAGCTCGACTACTGGGCCGGCCCGCTGGAATGGGATGCAAGAGAGGGGAAGGGAGTTGGGCAGCTGGTTAGCACAGGGGAGAAAGGGGGTGGCTCCGGAGGGAAGCTAGGCCTGCGGGGAAGGCAAGGCCGAGCGGGCCAAAATCCACGGAGGGAGAGGGGAGTTAAAGAATTCCTTTTTCTTTTCTAAATTTCCAAAGCAATTTTCAAATGAGTTTTGAATTCTCTTTTGAGTTTTGAATAAAACCACTCAATACAAAACAACATGCAACAGCATGTATATACAAACATGTAGCTAGATCTTATAGTTGATTTTAATTTAACAAAAGTTGTTATTTCTCTAAGTTTAATGCTCACATAAATACATAAATAAATCAAATTAACCTATTTTTAAATGATGTAAATTTTAGGGTGTTACACAGATGATGGTTAATGATTAAACATTGCATTACTTTGCAGTATTATATATGCATCCTATCGCCTTATCCAGATTTTCCTTCCTTGTGGCACGCGAATTTTCCAGAGCAGCCACCACTCTGTTCAGTTGCAGAGCATTTCCTGCGGATGGTTAGCAAGGGGAGTGCGTGTCTCTGTACATCGGATTATTTTTTAAGCTATAGTGTTGATAGTATCATATCATATGGAACAAATATGGATAGCTTTTGAGGGATTACTTTTGTAACTTTATTACACTGTCGAGATCTAGGATATCTCGTACTGGTTTGTGGTATCGCATAAGATTTGCAAGTCAACATTAAATGATATAAAGATGCACAAAACAATTGAAGGTTGATTGGTTTGCACAGAGGGCCACATAAAGTATCCTGAATTTTTATTTGTTATGTGCAACTGCAACATTAGATTATCGTCAGATAAGCAGAGGTGGCAACCGCACGATCAGCTCAACGCGTGGCAGCTGATCGGTCACCATTGGAATCTGACAAATCGACGCGGCGGAGGCCGGCAGGGAGACGATGGAGGATGGAGCAAACGACATACATGCGTCTGTCTGCGAAATGAAAATGGCCCTTGTCAACGCCATCCCTTTGATTACTTCAGTTCAGCACTGCTGGATCGGAGAGCACGATGAGAGAGGGGAAATATCAAACATCCATTGGCTCAAGTACAGTGCAGTTCTGAAATTAAGCACCAAATACTATACAAAACAATGCTATAGGCTATAGCATAAAACTGCAGAATGTTAGAACTTGGTAGTTGTACACAAGAGCAAGGAACTGTAGTCCTCTCGGCTCTCGCTCTACTTACATTAATTGCTTCATTCAAGAACAGGACTCCTAAGCTTGGTGTTCTGTTCTAGTATGAGCCAGCCAAGAGGCTGAAGGTGAGCAAGAGCGGAAGAGAGAACGAACAAGGCAAAACTTGACACCAAAACACCCTGTTCTAAAGAGGAAAACAAAACGCTCATCAGTTTGCACAGTCCACCACTCGACGCATGTCCTCAGCTAGCTACTCTACTCCTGATGCTAGCACTGCTTATCTCCCGAAGCCGCGATCCCGGTTCTTGGCGACCGGCGCCGCGAGGCTGCCGAGCAGGGTCCTGGCGATCTGCAGCTTGAGCTGGCCCCTCTTGAGCGGCGGCCTCTTCTCCTTGCTGCAGCCACGGCCGTTGCAGGGGCACCAGTACTCCATTGCTCCGCTTGCTTCCTTTCTTGCTTGCTCTCTCGCAGGTCGCGAGCTCTGTGCGTGAGCTGGATGGATGGATGGATGGCTTGAGGAGGGAGCGTGCAAACGTAGTGTTATATAGCCAGAGTTTTCAGTCACGTTGCTTTGGAAGGTGGAAACGCGCGTTCCCTTTGTTTTCAGTCACGTTGCTCTCTCGCAGGTTGCCTTGTTTAGTTGGCCGAATTCGGCGTCGCCGGATTCACTGTGCGTACGGTAGTATTTCGTTTGTATTTGATAATAATTGTCCAATCGTTGACTAATTAGGCTCAAAATGTTCGTCTCGCAAAGTACAACCTAACTGTGCAATTAGTTTTTGATTTCGTCTACATTTAGTATTTCATACATGTACCACAAGTTTAATATGACGAAAAATCTTCTTTTTTATAGTGACAAAGTTGGAAGCTGACAGCAATTGGGCTGCTGCTGCCGGCTGGGCTGGCTGCTCCCCCTCACAAATGTTTTGAGCCATGTGCGTAGTGGCAGTCTCTGTCTCTTGTTGCAACTTGGGAGCGAGTGGGAGTGGGAGCAGGAGCGCTACACCGCCACTTCACTCGCTTTCTCGCTGCCTTTTTCCTCGCCTCATCATCCCATGAAGCCATGAATGGAGCGGCGGGCCAATGAGCAACCAACAAATATTAGGTGGGAGTGTGGGACTAGCCTCATGGCAATTAGAGGTTATATATAAAAGCAAATTAGTCTCAAGCTAAATGTAGATGCTAATGCCGGTGCAACTACACGCAGCGCTTCTTTCTCGAACTTCTAGCACGGGAAAACAGTTAAACACTGTTATTCTCTTGAACAAATAATAAGGTATAACGACAAGGCAAAAAAATAAATAAATCATAAACTACGTTGGCAAAATTTGAACACAACATGATGCTGTTTTTTTAAAAAAAAATTACACTAATCATATGTTTTAAAGAATGTGTGTCTTTTGTAGGCTTTGTAGATGTTCCAAAAGAATCTAGACAAGGTAGTATGTTACTAAGAATCTCAATTACATGTTAAATTTTCTTCTATATCCATCCCCCAAAAAATACAACCCTACATTTTGTCTAATCAAATTATTTTAAATTTAAATAAATTTATAGAAAATAATATCAAACATTTATGATTTCAAATAAGTATATTATGAAAATATATTTAATGATGAAATATGATGATACTTATTTAGTTTCATAAGTATTAGTAATTTGGTTAAACTCAATAAGGATGGATTTAGGCTAGTCTAAGTGGGGTTTCATTCCCACAAAACTTATTTTACTCCATCAAACTTTCATAATCTCTCCGTTCATTAATATTGTGTCATGTTAGCATATCTGCTAAGTTAGTAGTGTATTTAGTGGTTATGAAACTTTTATAGCGATATAGCTACAATAGTTCTTTTTCCTGGAAGTGAGGGGGTACTTATCTTTTCGTCAAACTCGTGAGTTCTGAATCATGATCCTACTAATCGAGCCGATCATTCCTAGTTGGATCATTCCTAGTTTCCATGTGCCATCATGTTCTAGTTCTAAACGGGGATGTTCTTGCCTGTCGACGTGACACAGAAATGGTGAGCTTTAATGATCAATGGCAGCACTAAAATCGTCGTATTGCATCCAATCCCATAATGGCATCACCTCATTCTGCCTTTTTCTTCTGAGCGCTGCATTTTGTCGAGGAACTGTGAGTTACTACGAGAGAACTAAAAGAACAACTCACTATAGAAATTGTCTATTAAGCTGACTCATGATTATGTAGCACCACACGTTGTTGTTGGACTCCTAGCTAATGGCTCCAAGACATCAAAAACATTGTGACGAAACAAATGATACTATAGGGGGAAAAAGTGAAACTATAGATCCATAATAGAAGATGCACTATCATCTCAAATTTAAATATAAAATAGAGCCCAGGAGCTGGATAAAGGCTTGGAAAATGGTTTTTATGGCCAATATAGCTCATCATGATGAGACCGAAGGCTCCTTGATTTGGCCTCAACTGAAATTATGCAGTCACAAGACAATAATTAATAGGAAGGCACGAAAGATGACAATAGCTCTAAGTCGGAGTTAGAGTTCATGATGAAAGATAGAGTAAAAGTGCATCATTTGAATAAATAAACAAAACTATTTGCAAAAAGGATATTCATTTTAAAAAAATCTAAATACTACAGTAATAAAACTAGCAACGCGCTATTTGCACGGGCCAACTTGCTAGTTTGATTAAATTTAAGAAAGTTTGACTCAATCTTAAATCAGAATTGTATTCTTTTTAGGACAAATGTATTGCAAGACTTGTTTTGAACCATGTAGTTCTCTCTCTGCGGCGAGTGAGCATGCAACATCACTTCACGGTCTAGCTAGCTATATGTCACTACCTTTTCCCAAACTTCATCATTAGGCAGCCATTATAAAAGTCTGAACCTACATTTATTTTCTATAGAATGGGCTCTCAGGCATCCATGAAATAAGAAGCATGCCAATGAACAACCAGCGAGATTATGGACGGATTAGCCTCGTGGCAATTAAGGACTAGACAAGCCAAAGTCATGCCAAATCTAGATGCTAATGCTCCAGCGTCTCTATCTCCAACTAGATTTGTGATGTTAGCCCGTTACTAGTATTCTCAAGTTTTGAGGTTAGATTAGTGCAGACATAATTACACACGTGCTCCTACTATATTCTTTCCTAATGTATTGTTCCCAGTTACACGGGAGGCAATCATTGCGTCCAAAGGTTCTCCATAAATACAAAATATTCAATATTATATAATGGCTCAGACAGTGCGGTAACCAACTCATGCAGTCCAATAATAGCCACACGATAAATACGCATTTAAACATGGAAGCAAACAATAATCAAATTAAAAACATGACCACACATTACAAATTTTCAGTTGCCGCCAATTTGGCAGCCTACAAAAGCATGGTAGACACCAGATTACTCCTTCTGTTTCCTCCTTCTATTCCTCCTCACCGTGTAGAGTAGCACCTATGGCTTTTGATCTAAATGTGGAACCACTAGATCAAGGAGAGACATTAGCAGACATGAATGATGAGCCACCAGGCGAAGTACACTTCCAAATCCATGAGACCTAACCAGACTTGAATGAGGAGCCACCAAATGAGGAAGAACCCTTCCAAATCCATAAGCGCAGCAAGCCCAACTTATTGGAGATGAGATTTCTGAGGGCAACAAGAAGGAATCAGTTCTGGTAAGATCTCTCATGACTTCATCTCTGCAAGTGATATGAGTAGAAGAATCAAATTTGATATGTATATATAGTTGTGCTGACTGCACTATAGTGCATGCTGATGTTGAAGAACATCAACCAAATCTGGGTGAACAGGCCGTGTGGACCTCACGTGTAGCCTATTGATAATGAACGCCAAGCAGATGGAGATGTCACATTTGATGTTCCTGATGAACAAGATGATTTTGATACAAATTTACAACTTTCTGGCCAGTATGAAGAAATGCAACAGAATATGATCAGTAACATACACTAATGTTGTTTGTTTTTCATAATTATGCACAGTAATTTTATTTTCATGAGATGACATATAAGTGCGCACATGACTTAAAATGATTTGGTGTACATAAGTGGGTTATTTTGTGTTTCCAACATATATTCTCGTTGTTCCACCATAGAAATTGCTCTTTTGGTCCAAGGACATGGGGCATGATCAATAGTAAGAATGACCACACTAGGTTGATTCATACTTGTCATGATAGAGATATGTTTTAATTCCTAAAATTATTGAACCAAATGAGCATAATTGTCTTTATGTTCTCAATTATCAAACCAAATGAGCATAATTCTCTATGTGTTTTGAGTAGGACGCAAGACTTTGTAAAAATCAAATAAAATAACCAAATATGTACTAATCAATAGTAGTAGCAATGCCAATTAAACGAACATTGAACCAGATTAAATGCTTGGACCATACAATTCTTTCTTATCATAACACTAAGAGCTATCATACACTAAATACTCGGCATTAAGCTATTTTCATCTTGTGAACAAGATATCAAACAGCAACACAGTTTGATTTGAATTAAATGAATCGCACAAAGAAGACAAAGATGCATTCCATTGTTGTTATCCTTTTAACCAATGGGATAAAATATTATAATTAGCCTAAAGTGCCATCTTGTTGTCTACAGAATTAACTTGCTTTCCCTATGGTGCCCAGATATATTTTACAAATGCATGCATAATGGAAAATCAAAAATTAGAATCCACTATCAAATGCACATATTATGTGAATGGCAATATGCACTAAATAACTAACTTGGAGGTTGTTTTGATGCCTACTTTAAGGCCATGGAGTAGGATATGCATGAGTGTGGCGAGGAAGTGGGCATCGTGTTCCACTAAGAGTTGGATGACTCAAGCAATGAAGACGGACATGCAAATGCAAATGTTGCAACTATGTCAAAGGATCTTACTCCAACTCAAAGTAGAAAGCCCAAGAATTGTGACCGGAAAAAGGTTGAAAAGCTGATGTATCACAAGTTCAAACAATCTATTGCAAAGAAGGTCTATTATATGGTCTCTAGCTCAAGCTCTAGGTTCAAACAAAAGCATATTGCACAGGCTATTCAAAGATAGACTCCTACGACAACACTGGTGGAGCCTCTCAGAGGTGAAACTAGGTCCTTTCCTCATGTATACCTCATTTCTTCTCTAAACTAGGTTGCATTATATGGAGAAAGTATTAGTATTCTTTGTACAAAGCTCTAAAGTAGATTGTTTTGTAGATATATTGCATAAATACAAGGCATTTGCATCAACAACCTCTTGCAAAAAAATCATACATTAATTTTATTGAACAATTTAGCCTGTACCCCTTAATTAATCCCCACACTCCACCACTATATGAAGGCACCCTAACTCATTAAAGACATATTTAAAGGAAGCAAATAAAATAGGAAAATATTATGGTGGTGGGTTTCAATGGTAGATCCACAAAATTGCAA